GCTTCGCAGGTGTGGTTACACCAGTAGCAAAATTTTTAGATTTTCTTAAGTCCAAATTTTCGATCCGTTAACCATCCGAAAGTCAACTCCCCGGTCAAACTTCCAAACTTAAATTTTTTATTTTCGCTATTTCAAGCCTAATCTAACTACGGACTTCCAAATAATTTTTCGGACACACTCCGAAGTCCAAAATTATCATACAGAGCTATTGGAATCATCAAAACTCTATTTAGGGATCGTTTACACATAACTCAACATTCGGTCAACCTTTTCAACTTAAGTTTTCATCCTTGAGACTAAGTGTCTCAGTTCATTCTGAAACCTTACCGGACTCGAACCAATTACTCCGGTAAGTCACATAACAATTGTAAAGCACTAAATGATTATTAAATAGGGAACGAGACTATAATACTCAAAACGACACCGGATCGTTACAAAGATTAAGAGCACAATTTCCAAATTATGTAATTAAGACACTCCGTCTTGATAATGCTGGTGAATTTACGTCCCAAGCCTTTAATAATTATTGTAAATTAACTGGGATAATAATTGAACATCCGATTGCATATGTCCATACTCAAAATGGTCTAGTAGAATCATTAATCAAACGTCTCCAAAGAATTGCTAGACCAATATTTATGAAAATAAAATTCTCATCTCGTATGTGGTCATGCTCTTTTGCATGCAACAACTCTTGTGTGGATCAGGCTGCAAGTTATCATAAAGTTTTCCCATTACAATTGGCTTATGATCAGAAGCTAAATATTTCTCATCTTAGAATATTTGAATATGTGGTATATATTCTAATTGCCCTACCACAATGCACAAAGATGAGTCCTCAAAAAAGATCCAACATTAATTAGGAGGAGAAAATAAGCGGTTGGAAAAAGAGATTAATTGAAATGCATAGTCTCCGAGATATCAAGTAAAGTTTTCAACATGGCAGAAATATATGATGTACTCTTTTTTTCTTAACTAAGGTTTGATCCCAATTGGGTTTTCCTAGTAAGGTTTTTAATGAGGCAACACTCAATGCGTATTACGAGATGTGTGTATTCTTTTTACTTCACTATATTTTTTTTCACTAGGCTTTTCCTAGTAAGGTTATGACGAGACACATTACCTTTTAAATAGACATTCAAGGGGAGTGTTATAAATGAGATGAATGCATTTGTCTGTCCATTTAACGTACTTTGTATTAATGTACTCAATTAAGAAGTATATTAACTTATAACTTTTGAATGTATTTGTATTTTGTACCTTTATAAATAAAAAACTTTTGACCATATGAAAAACACATCAAGAACAAAAATAACAAAATCATTCCCCTTCTATATCTTGTCTTTATTGCTTGTTCAATATTATTATATTTATCTCTTATTTTATGGAGTAACACATCACTGCTTGCGTTGGTAGATAGCATTATTGGTTCGTACACCAGTCAAAGCGACATACTCACGAATCAAGAGTCACGTGAGAAAATGAGAAGTAGGCATTCAAACATGAATGTAGGCACAAAACCAAATAACATGCATATTCCTTGTGGGAAAACGATGCTTCCTTTTTGGGGCGGCTGAGATGGAGAAACCGAAACCCCAGCTGCTATGTGGACCATTTACACTCGTTACTTTTCTGCTTTGCTATACATATCAATAGCTGATTAGAGAGACATACAAGTTCTTTTTGATAAAGCAAGAAAGTACTGTGACAAAAAGCAAGAAAAGCCCAAAATGGAAAACAATGCTGCTGAATTTCCTGATGGCAAACAACAACACATTCCTCTACTGACCCCTTATAAAATGGGAATTTTTCAGTTATCCCATAGGTATTCTTCCTCAGATCCATTTCACATTTTCTTTTTCAAAACTGCTGTGATTATGCTTTTCTTGAGCAGGGTCTATCTAAACAGTAATATTAAGGTACCTCCACAAGATTTGCGTATATACTACCTTCCCAAACTTCACATGTGCGATTACACTGGGTATATGTTGTTTGACATTTGATGTTTGATTCTTCCTGTTTATTCAAATTTGATCTTGGTGGTTACCTTTCTTAAAATGTTCGGTTTGCCCTTTTGTTTTTTCTTTCTTATTTTCATTCCTATGATTTCTGATTTGTGCAAAGTATAAGTAAAAACAATTTCTCAAATATACATCTTTTTTCTTTACTTTTTTTTAGTGATGAGTTTTATATTTGCTTAGCTGATATTCCCAACTAATTCAAGTTCTTGATGACCTAATGGAAAATACATGCGGTTGCAGTTTTGTCTTCCAGCCATCATCTAAATCTTCAAGGGAATTGAAATTTACTGTGTCACTATTGATAATTGAGTTAACTATGTAATCCTTATTTGCAAGGGCAATTATTTTTGAGCATTGAGTTTTGACCATCCTATTATTGCATAGCCCTATGAATTTGATGAATAAAGATGCAAACTGGTTCTTATTGCACTCTTAATGTTTTTCAGGGTTGTATTGGCGCCATTGACGAGGCAGAGATCTTATGGCAATGTTCCTCAGCCACATGCTATCCTTTATTACTCTCAACGAACCACAAAAGGTGGTCTTCTAATAGCAGAGGCCACAGGAGTTTCTGACACTGCCCAAGGGTAACTTTAGTTCCCACAATTTTCCAAGTTAATAATTGCAGTTTACTCCTCCTTCTAAATACTGCTATATGCTTATTGATAAAGGTATCCACAAACACCTGGTATATGGACAAAGGAGCAAGTTGAGGCCTGGAAACCAATTGTTAATGCAGTCCATGCCAAAGGAGGAGTCTTCTTTTGCCAAATTTGGCATGTAGGGAGAGTTTCCCACAAAGGCAATTGACTTTGCTACCATAATTTTAATCATTTTTATCAAATTATTTGAAGCTTTGAGATAACTGTCTCACTAAATGTAAACTTCTGTGCTTCTTAACTTGACTCTTTTTGTTCAGATTTTCAGCCCAATGGACAGGCTCCTATCTCCTGCACAGACAAGCCATTAACACCTCAAATTCGTGCCAATGGTGTGGATGTTGCACAATTTACACCACCACGGCGTCTGACGACAGATGAAATTCCTCAGATTGTTAATGATTTTCGGCTTGCTGCTAGAAATGCCATTGAAGCTGGTAAGACTTTCTTGTCAAGTTTCCTGCTTTAATGGAAAGCTGCTTCAGTCTGAAATTCTAGACTAGAAAATCATTGTTACATATTTTGCTATATGTGTAAGATGAATAGTATTTTGAAAGAAAAGACGACAAAAGAAACAAAGTCAGTAAGTGGTAAAATGGATACCGAGTTCCCAAGAATTAGAAGTATATGCATAAGCTGAGCTGAATGTGTCACTATTTGAATAATTCAGGACTCATATGATGCTTCTTATAATGTTTATCTCAATCATTTGGCAAACTTGATAGTATAGGATAACCTTTTAGTATGTACTATGTAAGAAGAGGTTAACTTGTTTTTCAAATAAGCATATTTGTTTTATGTTGTGTATATATTGAGTGTGCTTCCCCATCTTTCAGCTGGAGCAACTGCCGGATCTGAACAGTGGGTTAAAACTTAGGCTGTAAGCAATATAACAGAGAAATAAGGAAAATTTTGAACTGACTGCAACATAATGCGTGTGAATAGTGTGACACGTGCCGTCTAAGTGGCATTAATGAGTCACTTTTCAGTTATCTCCACTATGGTTTACTAGGAATCAAGAAAAGAAATTTAGATATAGACCTTTCAAGGAAATTTCAAATCTTGCAGAACATTTTCGGATATAGGTGCTTTGTTAGATTGATTACATGGTGAGTTGATTAGTAGTGATGTATAATCCTTGCTTTGAATATCTGTCCATGTGCTGTCACGTCAGTATTGCCGTCAAATTAACACCCTCCCTCAAGCTAACTTCACTTAATGTTTGTAGGATTTGATGGGGTTGAGATCCATGGAGCTCATGGCTATCTAATCGACCAGTTTATGAAAGACCAAGTCAATGATCGAACGGACCATTATGGAGGGTCTTTAGAGAACCGTTGTAGATTTGCACTCGAAATAGTTGAAGCAGTTGTAAACGAGATAGGAGCTGACAGAGTTGGAATAAGGCTTTCCCCATTTGCAAGCTACATGGAATCAGGAGACTCAAACCCGGGCGCTTTGGGACTTTACATGGCTGAATCCTTAAATAAGTATGGCATTGCTTACAGCCACATGGTTGAGCCGAGGATGAAAACAGTTGGAGAGAAAACTGAATGTCCTGAAAGCCTTGTGCCCATGAGGAAGGCATTTAAAGGTACTTTTATGGTAGCTGGTGGTTATGATAGAGGAGATGGAAACGAAGCTGTGGTTGAAGACCGAGCTGATGTTGTTGCGTATGGACGTCTATTCTTAGCCAATCCAGATTTACCAACGCGATTTGAACTCGATGCATCTCTCAATAAGTATAACAGAGAAACATTCTATACATCTGATCCTGTTGTTGGTTATACTGACTATCCATTTCTTGAAATCACAGCATGATGCCAAGGAAGAATTATATTGGATACCCTTTTCTTGGATGTAGGGGGAGAGGGGATTGCCATATACTTCAAATGTCTCACGAAAGAAGTAATCTATTGATAAAGATCACTAGCATTTTCTGCACTTATATTAAGTATGTCTTTTTTTTTAATTGATTTATTGTTTTACTGATAATAGTCATGCTCCTCATACTAGAAGCCCCTTTGATGCATAAATCCATTGCCTACCTTATCTGTCACTTTGAGTAACTTCTTAGTTGTAATAAAGGCTTTTTGTGAAAAATTTAAAGTTGGATCTCTTCTCGTATCTTTAAATTTTAAGAGAAAATTATTTTAAGAAATTGTCTGTATTATGCACCCCAATGGTGTAGCCTAGTCGTCTATAAAGTGGCAGGAGAATAATGAGGCCTTAGGGTTCATATTCCAATGGAGGCAAAAGAAAAATCCGGTGATTTCACTCCATCTGCCTAAACCTTGGGGAGCAAAGTTAATCTGATAATATGTTATTGGAAAGTAGTAGGTACCAGGTGAAATAGTTTCGGTGTGCTGTGTACACAATCTGGCACGGACACTATTGTCAAAAACAACCAAACAAAAAAATGTCTCTATCCATAACTCAAGTAGCAGAATGTGACCGGCTTATAGAATAGTATACAATCTTCCCGGCAAGCCTGACCTATTAATAGGAATTTCATTAAAGTTTCTCCTAAACTTGGGATTAACTCTACCTCCTAATCCTATTACTCCAATAGCATCCAAAGTTTCTCCTAAAGAAGGCTTTGCTAGCATGGGACAGGATATGCTACCCTAGAATTGCAGGAGGATTTAATATTTTGGATATTACAACTTGGAACAAAGGTGCAATAAGCAAGCTATTATGGAACCTTTGTAAGAAGGCAGATAAATTATGGGTGAGGTGGATTCACCGTTATTATGGGAAGAACAGGAACATCTTTGAAGATGTGCCTAAGCAGGCTTCTTGGATTGTTCAGAAGATACTGAAGGCCACCAAATACTTTGATGAGGCAGGTTACACGATGGCAGAGGTGCAGAATATGGAGCGTTTCTCCACTACGCATTTCTACATAAAGCTAAGAGATGAGTTCCAAAAAGTGATATGGAGGAAACTAGTGTGTAACAACATAGGTCTACCTAGATGGATCTTTACTCTAAGAATGGCTGCACATGGGAGGCTCTATACTAGAGATAGGTTGTTCAAGTTGGGGGTGACTACAAACCAAGTATGTCCTCTGTGTGATCAAGATGATGAGTACATATCACATTTGTTTTTCATATGTGGGGTGTCTGCAACAATATGGAAGAAGCTGCTCATGTGGTTAGGAATCAGAAGACCTCCAATGAACTGGGAGGATGAGCTACAATGGGCTAAACTAAATGCTAGGGGTAGGAGCCCTAAAGCTGAAGTTTTCAGAATAATGCTAGCTGCTGTAGTATACCATGTGTGGAAGGAAAGGAACTATAAAGTTTTTCGGGGCACAAAGCAAAATACTGAGATTCTAATTAGGCAGATTATCCAGGAGATCCATTACAGAGGTGCCATAAAAATATAAATTGCAAAGTGGTTTGAGGGGTTCAATTGTTATCCACAGTAGTTTGGTTTTGGAGTAGTTTTTGTTTGTTTGGCTTGTTGCTTATTTTGAGCTATGACTGACTGTTGGGACATGATGTCCAACAAGCAGTTTTTTTGTGTACTGTACATATATTTCAATTGGTAATAAAGTTAATTAGTTATCAAATAAATAGCATTCTAGCATATTTTAAACCAATCAATCCCCTATTCTATCTGCAGAGGTGTACCTTCCTGATCATGTTCGTATCATATCAATCTCGAAAACAACGTAAACATATTGGTCTCTACAACATCAAACATAAAGATATTGGTCCACGCACCAGGGTGGATCTATGGCTTTACGTGAATTCAGTAGCTTTTACTCATATCCCTGATGGGAAAGAATACCATGCACATGTAAAAGAAAGAAAGAAAAGTCAAAGAAAGAAGACAAAAGAAGTATAAAACAGACAGAGAGTTAAAGCAAATTATATGTTTGTCTGCAAAGGAAAAAAAGTAGTATGAAGTAGAATGTTAGACGGAAGAATTCATCTTCGAATTCTTTTCTTATTTCTCTATTTATATCAATAAAGTTATTCTCTATGTGGCCGTGGAGTAGACAAAAATTGCCGAACAACATAAATCTTGTCTTGTCCTATCTTATACAATTTATTGCTTTTCTGCTTTAAATATTTTTCCCTTCTATTAGCCTAACACGTTTTCCAACAACTAATATTAGACCACAACCAGTGCAATTCTGGTAGAAAAGTACGGTATTGGTGCAGTTTACTATTCATAAGAATAGTGCGACACTATTGCTCATTAATACTAACACTATTCACAATAGTGCAACACTATTATTCATCAATAATGAGTATTGTCTACCTTATACGGCTGGAACATTTTTCCTATACATTAGTACTATTCGTGATTACTATTCACAGACACTATTCATATAAAAAAAATTGTGAAGAAACGGCATCGGAAGAAGGGAATGTTAAGATTGATAAGTTCAATGACAAAGATTTTGGATTCTGAAAAATGCAGAGAGAAGATTATTTGTACCATAAGAAATTACACTTACCTATGATCGGGGGTAAAACCAAAGAATATGGCCAAAACAGATTGGGATATATTAGATTGCCAAGCTCTTGGTGTGATTCGTTTGATGCTAACACAAAATGTGGCATTCAACATCATTAACGGGAAGACCACTGCATGACTGATGAAGGCATTATCAAATATATACGAGAAGCCATCTGCTTCAAATAAAGTCTATTTGATGTGCCGATTGTTCAACTTGAAGATGACAGAAGATGGATCTGTTACGGAACATATCAATGAGTTTAATCTTATATTAACTCAGTTGAGTTTTATTAATATAACATTTGATGACGAAGTCAGGGCATTGATTTTACTATCATCTCTACCGGAGAGTTGGTCTTCAACAGTAACTGCAGTTAGCAGTTTATCGGGAAGTACCAAACTCAAATTAGATGATATCAGAGACTTGGTTCTAAGTGAAAATATTTGCCGGAGAGAATCAAGTGATTCCCTAGGATCTACTTTTAATACCGAAGGTAGGGGGAGAAGTAGCCTAAGAGGACAAAGTCATGGTCATTGCAGATCAAAGTCAAGGAGAAGAGGGCAATCCAAAAATCACAAAGACATTACTTGTTGGAATTACGATAAAAAGGGTACTACAGTAGTCAGTTTAGAGAGCCAAAGAAGAAGAACAATAATCAATACAAGGATGATAATTCAACAAATGCAATCGCTGAACAAGTCAGTGATGTACTAATTTATTGTACAGATAGTCTAGTCGAATCTTAGATTATGGACTCAGGTGCATCATTTCACTCTACCTCATGCAAAGAATTATTGCATAATTATATTGCTGGAAAATTCGAGAAGGTTTATCTAGCAGACGGCGAACCTCTGGATATTGTCGGGAAAGGTGAAGTTCACATAAAGACTTTACAAGGAACGCTATGGAAATTGTAAAATCTCCGACATGTTCCTGGCTTCAAGAAAAATCTGATACTCATGGGTCAGATTGACAATAAAGGATACATAATAGTATTCGGTAACAGATCGTGGAAAATAACCAAAGGAAATTTGGTTGTGGCATGAGGCTCTAGAAAGCAACATTGTATGCAAATGCAATACAAAGAGATACTATAGCAACAGTTGACCATGGTCGTGATACACCATTGCGGTACCGGAGGCTCGGGCATATGAGTGAAAAGGGAATAAAGTTGTTGGTATCCAAAAATAAGTTGTCAAACCTCAAGCATGTTAAATTAGGTTTGTGCGAAGATTGCATTTACGGAAAACAAAAGAGAGTTAGTTTCTCAAAGACGGGAAGGACACTAAAGAAAGAGAAGCCGGAACTAATGCATACGGATGTGTGGGCACCAACTCCTGTAACATTTTTGGGAGACTCATGCTATTATGTCACATTCATTGATGATTCCATGAGAAAGGTATAGGTTTATTTTCTGAAAAATAAATCTGATGTGTTTGTCACCTTTAAAATATAGAAAACTGAAATTGAAAATCAAACAAGCCTAAAGTTAAAATGTCTGAAGTCTGACAATGGAGGAAAGTACGATAGTCAAGTCCTGTTTTGAGAATGGGATCCGAATGATCAAGACAGCTTCTGGAATACCAAAACAAAATGTTGTTGCTGAAAGGATGAACATAACCCTAAATAAACGAGCCAGAAGTATGAGAATACATTTTGGATTGTCGAAGTATATTTGGGTCGAGGTTGTTCATATGTCAACTTATCTCATAAATAAGGCACCATTTGTACCACTGAATTTTGAAATTCCTGAGGAGGTATGGACAGGAAAGGAGGTAACTCTCTCATATTTGAAAATCTTTGGTTGTGTTGCTTATGTGCATGTAAACTCCAATGATAGAGATAAGCTTGATCCTAAAGCCAAGAAATACTTCTTTATTGGCTATGGTGATGATAATTTTGGTTGTCGATTTTGGGATGCTCAGAATAGAAAGATCATACGACACAAGAACGTCACATTCAATGAAAATACGATGTACAACATAAACAGACAGAAATTCAAAATAGTTGTGTTGGAAGAAATATCAGAAAATGAAGTGACTAGAGAGATTATAACTGATTCGGAGATTGAATATGCAAAACCAAGAGTTGAATCTGGATCAGAATCAGAATCAGAATCTGTAACAAGCCGTCCGGTCGTTTTGAGTATTGTAGATCTGTTCCCCCATTTATTGTTTATTCTATGTTCGTTTGTTGTTATATGACTTGCCGGAGTGGTTGGTTTAGTTCCGAGGATGTTTCGGAATGAATTGGGACACTTAGTCCCAAGGTTGGAAGCCTAAGTTGAAAAAGTTGACCGGATATTGACTTATGAGTAAATGACTCCGGAATGGAGTTTTTATGATTGCGATAGCTTCGTATGGTTATTTTGGAATTAGGAGTGTGTTCGGATATTGATTTGGAGGTATGTAGGTCGTTTTAACTTGAATTGGCGAAAGTTGAGAAGTTTGACCGAGATGTGTTTCAGCATTGATTTTAGAAGTTGGAAGTTCAATAGTTCATTAGGCTAGAATTGGGGTGCGATTTATGTTTTCAATGTTGTTTGATGTGATTTCAGGCCTTGACTAAGTTCGTACGATATTTTAGGATATGTTGGTATGTTTGGATGGGGTCCCGGGGTCCTCGAGTGTGATTTAGATCATGTTCGACTCATTTTTAGACTTGTTGGACTGTCGTTTTGTCTGGTTCTAATTTTCTTATATATGATCGCAAGTGAAGGTCCGCGATCGCGAAGGGTTGTTTGGGTGACAGGTGAAGTTTGTCTACACGTTCGTGAGAATTGGTCTGTGATTGCGAAGCTTGGGGAGTTAGTTCTACGCGAACACATGAGAGTTGCCGCATTCGCGAAGAAGGAAGAGGAGGCCTAGGATGTCAGACGCGTTGTTCTACGCGGTCGCATGTGTGTGTGTCCGCAATCGCGTTGAGGGCAGCCTTTTTTTTTCTTCGCGATCGCGTAGAGGAGAAACTAGGCAGACTATTTAATTTCAAAAATAAGGGTTAGAGTATTATTTCACATTTGGACTTAGGGAGCTCGGCTAGGGGCGATTGTTGAAGAGATTTTCAAGGAGTTGATTGGGGTAAGTGATTCTAACTCGGATTTTAATATTATACATGAATCCATCATTGTTTATACCATTTAATTAGTGTTTTGGGTTGGAAAAATTTGGAGAAACTTCATAAGCTATATTTTGGGGATTTGAAAACCAATTTGAGGTCGGAATTGGATGATTTTGGTATGGTTAGACTCGTTATTGAATGGGTGTTCAGATTTTGTGAATTTTGTCGGGTTCTGAGACATGGGACCATGGTTGACTTTTTGACTTTGGTTAAAGAACTTAGCTTTATCGTATGAAATCGATTCTTATAGCTTGTATTGATTGTATTAAGTTGCTTGTGGCTAGATTCGGGTCGTTCGGAGGCCGATTCGCCAGGCAAGGGCTTGTTGGAGTTGTGATTTACGTGGTTTGAGGTAAGTAACACTTCTGAACTTGATACTAAGGGTATGAATCCTTGAAATATGTGTTATGTGATTGGTGTTGAGGTGATACACATGCTAGGTGACGGGCATGTGGGCGTGTACCGTGGTAATTGTAACTCAATTGATTTTATAGTACTGTGTAGTTATCTAAGCTTGTTTCTATCCATAAAATTCCTATGTGTTAGAGTAATTGAGATGTGATCCATGTTAGAAATCTTGTTAGGCTATATACTTATTCTCTTGGGACACTCTGTTTAACCCAAAAATAGATTTCGCGGTCAAAATCAATATGAAGAAGACATCGAGTTACTGATAACCAAAATTACTTCACTTTCTTAGAGATCTAAATAATAAAAAGAATAATGAAAATAATAAACTAGGAAAGAGAACTCAAAATAGATCGCTAATCTCTCCAGAATAAGTAAAAGAATAATTT